TATCATATTTTATGTAATTAAGTTGTCTTTAAAATTTTTGTACTCCCTTTGTAATGGCAAAAAGCCATATTAATTAAATGATTGATTGATTTTCTGTACCAAGTGTTGCAAGTTCACATTTCTCAATAGTTCTTGAAATTTTTCATAATTCTAATAGAATAACTGAAAGAACAACAATTAGAGCAAAAGAGCAATATGAAAAGTTGTGCATCATGGCAAAAGAGTCAGTTTCTCAAAAATTTGTAGACTATATATCATTAAATGAGGACATTTCTTTAGAATTCCTTTGAAGTATGGAGTGTCTTTAAAATGCAGTGGAGTGGAGGGTGGTTTCTTCATTAACAAATCTCTCCTAGTTGAAAATTGCAGGAGGAGAATCTGGTTGCTTTAAAGGTTGTACATGATAGTATCATGTACCAGGGGAAAGAATTAGAAATTGAACCTGACAAGATGTTTGCAGACAATGTGCTGTCATAAAAAATCTCAGTATTTTGAAAAGAAAAAGTATCTGAATTTGAAAGTAGAATCTCTGACAGCTGAGAAGAGGAAATTTGAAAAGGAGCTGCAAAAAAAGAAAGTTTTCAGAAAGGAAGCAGAACAAGAAGAAAAACAAATAGAATTGAACATCTTAGCATTACAAGAAAACAGATATGTTACTGAAATAGTTCATTATATAAATGTCACATGTAATGTTTCCTTCAAATTAAAGCTTACTCAATTCTATTCATACTATATTGTATTCATCTATTTATTTTATCATTAAACAATAATAAATCCTTGCCTAGCTAATGAGTAGTGGAAATTTTGAAAGTATCCTATCTGTATCTTTTAACATATTATTCTGCTTTGAATGTAAACATTCGTAAATTATTTTCATGCTTGTAATCTAGGGTCAAAAACAAAATTGACAAGCTACAGCTTGCAGAAAATTTATACTATCTTACCTAAGAGCACAACTATTGTCCTGAGCACAACTGATCAGTTTAGCAACTTCTTGCTGTGATTTTTCCTTCCTGTACCATTGTAATTTTTTTTTATATTATTACATAGTTCTTTTTTATGGCCCATGATATGAAGCATAAAATAATAAACAGTAACAAATAATTAAGAAAGTTTACCAGAAATAATCATATCTGCATTCAACTAATTATTTTAATATGCAAATTTGAACCAGTGGTTCTCATAGTGGAAGATACACTGCTGATCAGAAAATTGGTGCACAGAATGACATGATTGTAAAGTTTTGTCTTTAAGATGAGGACAAAAACTTCCTGTTAAATTTTTATTTCTTGTACAAAAAGCTTAATTCTTATGGAAATATTGGGTTGTTCGGAAAGTAATTTCGTTTTTTTTTCTGTGGAAAAAAACATATTTTTATAATAAATAAATATTTTATTGAATTATATATCGACCATTTTGGTGAAATACCTGTCGTCATCGTTTCTGGTAGTAGCATGATTTCACATTCATAAAAGTTTTGATCGTTGCTTACAAAAAAAGATCCAAGTGATTTTTGACATTGTCATTTCAAGTAAATGTCTTACAGTTAAAAAAAATTTGTATAGACCAGAACAAGTAATAATATGAGTGTGCTCGATCTGGCGAATATGGTTGGTGTGATAGCATGTCCAAGTTATAACAGTTACTGACAAGTTACCAAACTTGTGTGAAATTTGACATTATCATTGTAAAACACTACACCTGTTTTGTTGATCAGTTTTGGCCACCTTTTCTGTTTGATGATATTACTTGATTTGTTTACTCGATGGCAGTACACTTTTGAATCAATTGTTAAATTGTCTGGTAAAAGCTCCAAAAAAAAATTTCCTTAAAATCCCACTAAAGAGATCATCTCTCTTTAAGAACATGTGGAACCCATAAATCAAGCTTTGAAACGAAACCAATTTGTTTCAAGTAATCATAAACAGTTCAATTTGACAAATTTAATCTCTTAGTGATTTCACATGTTGTTATTCGGCAGTTTGCTTCAATCAGTACCTTTATTTTGTTTTCATTGGCTTTCAATTGGCCAATGTGGTATATCTTCAATATTGAAATTGCCAGAACAAAATTTTGTAAACCAGTTTTGGCACTGTCGTTCTGTGAATACATCTTCTCCATACATGTCACACAATTTTTTTCTTGCTTGAACAGCATTTTCACCTTTTCGGTAATAAAAGAGCAAAATATGCCGAAAATGCTGCTTTCGATTTTCCATATTAGATAAGACACAAAAAAATAAACAATTGCACAAAATCAAACAAAATTTTTTACAAATAAGCCTTAAAATGATAGCTGTCAAAATATATAATGATAATACGGTTTAGAATGAAAATGGCGGGAAAAATACGACTAATCCGTCTAGTGGTAAAAAAAAAAAAAACTTACTTTCCAAACAACCCAATAATTTGTTTAATGTTTGTAGATAATTTATCTTAAAATAAATTTTATTTCTAGCATATTTCTTTTCATAAACATCATCACTAAACCCGATATATTTTAAAGCAATACACCAACCAATGCTGAATATTATTGGGCTAGGAACAGCTATAATATTAATAATTTATAATATTGGCACTATTTGGCACTAGAGTTAGGCTAACTCTGATGTAACTCTAAGTGCCAAATTGTATTATAAATCATTAATATTATAGCCATTACTAGCCTGATAATATTTGGCATTGGTTGGTGTATATATTTATTTTTATTTTTTTTATTGTTTATAGTCACTGTGCTGTGCCATATTCAGGTGATTGGAAAATTATGTTGAGGGGTTATATTAAAAAAAAGCAGTGTTCATAAAAGTCTGGTAATATAAAAGATATAATCTGGGTTATGCATTTTTTTCTTCCAGAACTTTCTAAATTAAAACTTGAATATTAATTTATTTATAATTATTAAATACATCAAGTGATTGGTGCCTAATGGCTACCTCTGAATTACTTGGAATATTTAATTTTTAAGTAGTAGCAATATAATCAGGCATATGTTAATAGCCCAATATAATCCGGCAGATAATTTGTTCTTGTTTTTACCTAGTAAGACAATACATCAATATTTTGCAAAATCTAGTCAGGAGAATTTTCTATTTATAGAATAAAATTGGATAGTCCTTCAACGTGCAATTGGATGATATATGAAACTGAAATGGATGAAAGTTTTAGCTTGATTATTTATAATAAATGGCATAGGAATGAAGGACTCCTTATCCTCCTCTTCACTGTCTAATTCTATATTTGCAATTTCATTAGCTGGCTAATTTGATTCTTCTTTATATACGTCAAGAATTTTTTCAAATTCAGCAAAATCTTCCATTTCTGTTTTTAGTGGTAAAATGTTAGCACTTACAAAAACTTGCAGTCTTTCTGTTTCTGAATTTCCTTGTCATCTACTGAGTCAAATCCTGCAAAAAGTTTTGAATGGTGAAAGCAGCATACAATTATAGTTGGATTGACAGATGTTCAGACTTTAGCAAAAAATTTCAGTGCATCCAGTACATTAGGTCTCCTGGCAGTATTACTTATATTCAAATGCTGGAATATTTGTTTAAGCACTAAGGATCTGTCTGTCAAATTTTAAAATTTTTTATTATTCTTTGGACCAAATATATCAGAGGGGTCACATTCAGTAGTGAAAAGCTAAATTGTAAATCTTATTTTTAAGATTATTATGTTGGTTATATGCAGCACAAATATCCATCACTAACAAAATTTTTCTCCTCTGTTGACCTAACTCTTTATACCAGTCAAAAAATCATTTGTGAAATATATCATTGTAAAATACTAAGTTATTTTTGCCTTTTACAATGATTAGCAACTTGACTGTGTGCCGGAAATAGCCGTTACCTAACGGGTACTTTACACGGATTCGCATTAATGTGCCAGACCTTGACTTTAAGCATGCACCGAAAGAAATAATGACAAAGTTAGTCAAAACCAATAGAATATTTAATAATTCTAATAATGACTATGTACAAAAATTAGTAACAATCAACAACAAATTTATTCAAAGAAAATCAATAAGAATCAACCCGACAAAACTCAAATCAATTTATTTGCTAACTGAAATCTATTCCCCTTTGGAACTCGACAAAAAAATAGGCCATTACTGCTTTAACGAATAGGCCATTACTGTTCAAATAAACATTCGATATCGAATGTTTATTTGAACAGTAACGGCCTATTCGTTAAGACCTGAAGAAGAGCCCAGGAGAGGTGATGAAAAGTAAGTTTATTTTTAGAACTAATTCTAAAAATAAAAGCACTTTGGTTAAAACATTTGAAGAGTATTTTATTTATATTCAACAGTGTGTAGAGAGATTTTACATGGTTTCTACTGCACAGACAAGATCATCGACAATTGCAGACAGCCAACCTGAGTGTGGTTCATCATGCACATTCTCCCAACCTTCCTTAAACAGTCCTACCCACTTATTAACTTTGTTATCACTCATGGCATTTGGACCATAAACTTCACAGATCTGGCAGTGAATCTCTGTTGATTTCACATTTCTTGTGACCAAGAAGCAAATTGAGTGGCTTTCTACCTTATTTCACATGTAGCAAGTCACTCAATAGTCAAACATTTCCATCACACAACATGAAAAGCACACACTACATGAAAAGCACACACTACTGGCATGATTCAAAATGGTGTTTGCCTATGTGTAAGGGATGCTAGGAGACATTGCAAATGCATGTGTTTTAAGTAGATGTTGCTAAATGGACCTTACTTGAAAAATATACTTTATACTTGCATTTTTGTTGGTAATTAATTCTAGGCATTAAATATCGATAGAAAGGTTTAATAGATAAGTAAGAAAGAAGTTTAATGTTTTTATTCCTGTAAATCTGAGAATGGCATATGTTGGTACAAAACATGTTTAATATGCTATTTGTTTGATTTCTAAACAAAATAACATTATGATTAATTATTTTAAAATATTATTTTAAATACTGATTTCTTTAAATTATTTGATAATATGATATAATAAATTATAGGATAAAGATGGTGATCGAGCTGTGCATCATGCTGCATTTGGTGATGAACCTGTAGTAATGGAATTATTGGCACGAGCTAATGCAGATCTAAATGCTAGAAATAAGAGAAGACAAACTCCTTTGCATATAGCTGTAAATAAAGGTCATGTTGGTGTTGTCAGAATACTTTTAGAATTAGGTTGTCATCCTAGTCTTCAGGTAAATTAATTTACATAAATAAATTAATAATTTAATATAAAATATTAAAGTTTATTTTTAATAACAGGATTCTGAGGGAGATACTCCACTGCATGATGCAATTAGCAAAAAAAGAGATGATATGCTCACATTATTGTTAGATCATAATGCTGATATTACTTTTACCAATAATAATGGATTTAATGCATTACATCATGCTGCTTTGCGAGGAAATCCTAGGTAAGTATTTTAAATATTTAATTACATTGTTTTCTATATTTTTCAAATACAAAGTTTTATTTAATGTAAAATAAATACACTCTCACCAAAAACTGGAACTGTAATATTCACAAATCACACCTAAATTCAAAATTTCCAGCAAATAAACATAAAAAAATACATGTCAAACGTTTTCGCCCACTGAATTTATCGGCCTTCATCAGGAAATGCAAACTGGAAAAACCGTTCTATAAATAGAACTTAGCTGCCTTTTAAATTTTAAAAGAACGAAAAACGGCTGTGACATATCGTGTATGACATATGTTATGAGTCAAGATATAGTTTCCACTCTGATGATAAAGGAATGACATCCGTGTTGATGCAGTTTCCACTCATGCTCGCATTGTAGATCTCTACTGCTTCTAAAATTTTTATATTTTGCCTGTCGAACACCTTGTGTATTAGCTTGGCCTGGTCCCAACAGGGGGAAATCCCCGGATCGCTGGCATACCGTGCTAAAGCCGTATTGATGTTACCTTTTAGTCTTGCTTGTAGCAATCTGTATGTGGATCCTATGTAAGCTAGTACTCTGTCAAACCTCTCGTCATATAGGGGGATGTGGTAAATCCCAGGAGCCAGATCGTCTTCAGTGTCGTCCTTCGCGTTTGAGAGAAGGCGGAAAATGGTGGGTTTCCTTCTATAGGCAATGAGTACGTTTAAATTATTCGCGATCCTTCTATATATGCGATGTAGTGTCGGTTCGTAGTCTAAGATCACCCGATTTGCTTCTGCTTTGTTAACCCTGTTAGATGACTGCCTTAGATATTTGGATGCCAGATTGTCGATAAACGTGCGGCCATATCCGTGGTTGTATGCTACTTGTCTGAGATGTTCAAGTTCCTTGTTGGTATCAGACAACTGTGTAGAATGGGAGTAAGCTCTGGCCACAAGAGTGCGGAATGCGGATGTCTTATATGACCATGGGTCCGCTGAATTGGAAGGTATGAATAGGGGGATGGAAGTAGCCTTGTGGTAAATTGCTGTGACGAATTTGCAATCAGCTACTTGAATTCTGATGTCCAAGAAATTAATGCTATTAATATTGGGGATAATACTATTATCCCCAATATTAGGTCGTTTTTTCCATACAATTAAAATGTCATCGACATATCGGGTGTACAGAAGGATGTTATGCTTGATGGAGGAGCGGTCATTAAAAAACATCAAGCATAACATCCTTCTGTACACCCGATATGTCGATGACATTTTAATTGTATGGAAAAAACGACCTAATATTGGGGATAATAGTATTATCCCCAATATTAATAGCATTAATTTCTTGGACATCAGAATTCAAGTAGCTGATTGCAAATTCGTCACAGCAATTTACCACAAGGCTACTTCCATCCCCCTATTCATACCTTCCAATTCAGCGGACCCATGGTCATATAAGACATCCGCATTCCGCACTCTTGTGGCCAGAGCTTACTCCCATTCTACACAGTTGTCTGATACCAACAAGGAACTTGAACATCTCAGACAAGTAGCATACAACCACGGATATGGCCGCACGTTTATCGACAATCTGGCATCCAAATATCTAAGGCAGTCATCTAACAGGGTTAACAAAGCAGAAGCAAATCGGGTGATCTTAGACTACGAACCGACACTACATCGCATATATAGAAGGATCGCGAATAATTTAAACGTACTCATTGCCTATAGAAGGAAACCCACCATTTTCCGCCTTCTCTCAAACGCGAAGGACGACACTGAAGACGATCTGGCTCCTGGGATTTACCACATCCCCCTATATGACGAGAGGTTTGACAGAGTACTAGCTTACATAGGATCCACATACAGATTGCTACAAGCAAGACTAAAAGGTAACATCAATACGGCTTTAGCACGGTATGCCAGCGATCCGGGGATTTCCCCCTGTTGGGACCAGGCCAAGCTAATACACAAGGTGTTCGACAGGCAAAATATAAAAATTTTAGAAGCAGTAGAGATCTACAATGCGAGCATGAGTGGAAACTGCATCAACACGGATGTCATTCCTTTATCATCAGAGTGGAAACTATATCTTGACTCATAACATATGTCATACACGATATGTCACAGCCGTTTTTCGTTCTTTTAAAATTTAAAAGGCAGCTAAGTTCTATTTATAGAACGGTTTTTCCAGTTTGCATTTCCTGATGAAGGCCGATAAATTCAGTGGGCGAAAACGTTTGACATGTATTTTTTTATGTTTATTTGCTGGAAATTTTGAATTTAGGTGTGATTTGTGGATTATTTAATGTAACTTAAATTTTACTGGATATTGCAGTTTAGTTTAATTATTTAATCTACCAAAGCAAACTAAACTGAATAACATTAATAAAAACATATCAAATAAATAACATTAACAGAAATGGAATAAATATGCTCAAACTTAAACTGTCATTTTCATATAATTGAAAACATTTGTTCTTGTTATTTAGTAAAGTATATTATTTGCTGGAAATTACTGATATCATTTTGTTATTCATATGGTTTTAATATAAAAAAGAATGTGAGAAATAGATAGATACTCCACTGCATGATGCAATTAGCAAAAAAAGAGATGATATGCTCACATTATTGTTAGATCATAATGCTGATATTACTTTTACCAATAATAATGGATTTAATGCATTACATCATGCTGCTTTGCGAGGAAATCCTAGGTAAGTATTTTAAATATTTAATTACATTGTTTTCTATATTTTTCAAATACAAAGTTTTATTTAATGTAAAATAAATACACNCTGATATCATTTTGTTATTCATATGGTTTTAATATAAAAAAGAATGTGAGAAATAGATATTTCAATTTTTATAATTTTTAAATAAAATACAGGTATCCCTTGTATAACATGTTAGTTATGTTTTGAAAAAGTGCCATGTTATGAAATCTGTGCTATATGAAACAAAGGACTAATGCAAAATATAGTGTTAGATTCCAAAAGTTAACAAAAGTATACTATTCTTTTCTGTTACTAAGAGAAATATGTTTATTAAAGCAATCAATAATTAACTAAAAATCACAATTAAAAAGTACTGTATTATGTGTTAATATTAATTTTAGTTAAACGAAAGTGTTCTCTTTTTACAAAGTATCATTGTCTTCTGAGCTTTTTTTGATGATTTTGATCAGAAATATCATCAATGTCTTCATTTTTCTTGTTTTATCAAAAAATTTTTTTGGTTGACAAAATAAAAATATGTTATTAATTGAAAATTTGTTCTAGTGGGCCCTTGTTTGTTCAGTTGACTACTGAGTGATTTTTCTCCAGAATTTGTGTTTGAACACCCAATTGTTAGAGTTGTCCGGCAGTATCTCAGTACTCAAACTGGAACAGTTTGAATACTGAGATACTGCTGTGTTTAGTTTATCATTTTTATGAATGATTACTATTTTATGATTATATTTAATGATTATAATTTTTATGAATGACCTGTGTTAAAAAAATTTACCTAAAAATGTTTAAATAAACTTTACTAAATACGAAGATTAATGTATAAAACCAAAATGTGGTGATGGTCTTAAATACTAATGTCTGAAAGCAAGTCAACAATACCTGGTTGATAGGAAAGCTAGGACAAGGAAGAAAAAATTGCACTATTTGTTTTCATTAAAGTAAACCTGATGAAAAACACAAAACAAATTGAAAATTTCAATCTTGTAATGAACAAATGTGAGACAACACATATGCTTACTTGAATAAAAAAATATCAAATAATGGTATTTGCACTTAAAAATTGTGAAATTTTGTAAGGATAATTTTCTAAATTCTCAAACTGTGTTAGAGTGAAACTGGAAATTGTGTTTTATGGAGATATCTCCAATTTTCCAACCATGTTAGAGCAAAACCGTGTTGAAGTGATGTGTTGTACGAGGGATATCTGTATTAATTTGAACATTATAAATTGTAACATTATAAGTATATACATGGTGCATTCAAGTTCTAAGGTCTCCCAATTTTATTCTGACAAAATACTTAAACAAACAAATTGAAACTTCTGTCACTTCTCAACATAATCTCCGTGCAGACATACACATTTTTCACAATGTTGACACCGTGACATCATGTCCACTACGAACACTTGTTTAAGGGTCTATTTTGACCACTGGAAAATTGCTGATGCCAGAGCAGCATGACTGGAAAATGTGTGACCATGGAGAGTGTCCTTTATCATTGGAAAAAGCCAAAAATTACTAGGAGAAAGGTCAAGTGAGTAGGGAGCATGAAAAACCATTTCAAAGTTGTTTTCACATTGAAAATCCTGTGTTAACATCGCCCAATGAACTGGAGCATTGCCTTGATGGAAGAGCACACGTGCAGCCTTTTCCAGCAATTTTTCTCGCAATGCTGGAAGCAATTCATGATTGCATGTGTGAAGCAACTTTCTCCATGCACACAAACATGTTGTCTGACCAGCTGGTGCTCGGGCATGGATGTTTTGGTGTGTTGTCACATGATGTTAACCCTTCTTTGATTTGTCGCACCCACAAACACACATTTTTCATATCCATGACACCATCACCGCTTGTGTCATTCAACTGGTAATAAATTTTGGTGGGTGTCATTCCACACAAGTGCAGAAAACAAATGATTACGCATTGTTCTTATAATGAAAGCATTGCCATTTTAAGTATCAAAAACACCTCTCACTCACTGCTGCTGGTAGCGTTCCATGCTCTATGCGGTGCTACCCTTTCTGTTATGCAACCACAAATAGTGTCTGCTTCTTTTAAAAAAATTGCATGTTGCTACCTGTTCCCTTTCCCTAGAAAAAAATAGGAGACCTTAAAACTTGAATGCACCTCGTATTTTAAATATAAAATAGAAACAGATTTACTATTAAGTTTTTATCTTTCTATTAAAATTGGAATTTAAAGCTGAGTTTGTGTACAGAAAACAAGCATGTTAATTGCATTTCATAACCTTTTACAATAAAGGAGATCTTTTAATGCAAAAGATTTTAAGATCCTCTATCAAATGCAATCTTCTGCTAAGATTGCATTTAATGAAAGATCTTAGAATCTTTTTTTATATAGATTTTCAGTATGCTTCTAACCAAACAGTCT